TTTATTTATTTATTTATTTATTTATTTATTTATTTGACTTCGTTCGTGACCTACAAGGCATTGCCAGAACACATCGACATTAATTGAAACCAATTCAATTACAGTGCACCCTGGATGCCAGAGGCCGTATGGGCGCCCCCAAGCCCCACACGGTCTCTGGAACCCAGAATAATTACAGTGGGCTCGAAACAGGCAAAACCACAACCTAAATGAAACAAAAAGTCCTACAGAGTTCAAGTATTGTCTACATTATTAACTTCACTTGTCATACTTAGGCCTGAATTTTTAAGCAATTTTCTTTCTTTTTTTTTTTTGTTTTGTTTTTGTTTTTGTCCACATCGTAATACATCAGTGAAGCAAGGAGTAATTACCATGTAGTGAAATATCATAACGTTTCAAATTTAGAGGAAGGATGTTCCAATTACTAGTTCAGTTATTCATGAATTGAGAATAATGATTGTTGCAAAGACAGAGTTTCCAAGTGCTTATTCATTATATTCATTCATTACATCAGTTTGTCAAAACCTAAATAGTCTGAGTGAACTGAACAACAATTTTAGCTCATTTCAGTTCAGTTTCAATATTCTGTAAGTGTTTTGAATCCAGATTTAGCAGGCCAATAGATAACTGAATGGCTAACTTTTATGCTACAAAGATATTTTGATTTAAGAGGTTTTAGGATTTTAGTACTCACGGGACAGTATCCTTGTTCAACTACGCACAGAATCTTTAGCAACTCCAGGCCTTGTAACTTATTTTTCCACTCGATATAAACGGTGTAAACGGAAAAACAACTGACGTGAAACGAAACCTTCCACTACTTCAAATGAATAATTTAAACCATTGAACGAGAGGTCATGCGTATTAGAGAGGGTTAGCATTGGATTTACAAAGACTGATCACGCAAGGGACACTCTTTTGGCAAACGGGAGACGTTAGCGATTTTAGACTTTTCCAAATAAATAACCTCTATCCCGCTATCTAGCTACAAAATAGGTCTCGATTCTAACTGATAGATCTTACGTGATTTATAACATGATAGAAAGAAATATACCTAATAATGATTTTTTTATGAGTGATATCTTTGCGTTGCATCTGTTCAAGTAAAGTCTGTTTAGCTCAGTGCGTTATTACGGGAATTCAGATGCTCTAAGGCATCAGGCTTGGGTTATTTGAGACAACTGGTTATGACATGCTACATGGTAGAATGCAATGGAATCCCAAAGCACCTCATTATTTATCTATGTTTTGCTCTTCCTTCCCAGTTCCGGAGTTCTAACATAATCTTGAGGCTTGGGCTTGACATTGAGCATGGCTTTCCATTTTGACAAAAATAAACAATGTATATAAATTATACATATATGGCGAAAGAGAATGAAAAGGTCCTTTATCTTGTGTAAAATTGATTCAAAATATTTTAGGTCAGAGACAAACATTTCAAGTAATAAGGTCCTATTGTGTATTAATCTACACTACTAGCTAAAGCTGCGCTCAGATTGGCTGAGCTACTAGTGGTCTGTTTATTAGTGAAAGACAACTATTAGTAAAGAGTGCCAGTTTTAAAAATCAAAGAAAATGGCGGCTGTATTGAACTCGCGTTCGTTGACCTAATTTCAAATGCTTTTGTTTAATTCATTTATTTGACCGATTAGTAGTTTTTATTTAAACAATTAGACCTCTCAATCTCATAGTCTACGAGTCAATGGTCTATTCGGATTCAAGCCTTCCTTGAGGAATCTCTGGGCTGGCCAAATTCATGGCACGGCTAATTCACAGATCGAACTGAAATTTATAGTTAGGCTTTGTGTAGCGAGGGGGATTGATATTTCTACACATGATGCACCCGTTTACCGCCTTCTTGCTGAGGTACTGCGTTAACTTTTCAAAATTAAATTCTTACCTTACACGTGTTTCCATTTTCAGGAGAAATAAATCAGCGATATGGCAGAAAAACTATTGACCAAGTTTGCAAAAGAAAACTTTGGGCACACCGAGTACATCCCTGCTGTCCATGGTCGTTGCTCCAGCATTAAGCCCTCTACTCTGATTATCAAACGAAAGCGCGCATGGTGGAAGAAACCATTCCATCACTCGGAAATGATCGTTCTTTCTGAGCTTGAGAAATATGTCGATGAAAATTTCAAAAAGTTCTATACTGAGGTTGCAGAGAGTCTTCTTACAAAGTAAGCATTAATTCTAAAAAATAAGATAATTTTGGGGGAAAATGTAGTTTTTTTTGTAATTATGCATAGAAGTCGCAGGTGCGCTTTTTGATCGTGTAACGTCAGGTCCATAGGAGTTTAAGCAAATTTTATATGACTTGCCTAGAAACAACTCACGCTACAAACGTGCGATCGTTACGGTGCCTTATCCGAACGTTTTTATTGGCTGAGCAGTGATCTCACACGCGGTGAGTGATTGATTGAAAGGATGTCGTAATAACAGTACCGTGACAGTGTCACTTCGTTAATGTCACGATCGCGCACGCTAACCAAACTGACAAGTCACATTATAAATCGCATGCACATCCAGCTGATTTGACAAAAATGTTAAATAATCAGAATAGAGAACATTTGCAATTTTCCTCTATGTTACTCCTGACCCCAGGAGCGGGTGGTAGCTACGGAAATCATTAGACGAAACGCGCCTGCTTGTTCATCTTACCAAACTTTATTGCATAACCTTATACAATCAACGAACCACTGTGTTCATACGTTGTGTTGGTGAATGGCAGTTTTCTACATAAATGATAAAGTTCCTAAATCAGTTGCTTACAAATGTTATAAATTACCAACGATATAAACTTACCGAACTATTTGGGAATTCTAGCTACCAATAAACACAGAAAACAACGAGCTTTCTCGCACTCCATGTGCTTGACCGCTACCCTTTTCTCACATGCCATGTGCTTATCACATGACGTACCTTACCATTACGTCATAATATACCTATGGTAGCCACACTCTAGGAATTATGGATTTCCAGAACACCAAATGGGGAAAATAACGTTGATAATAAGCTTTTGATAACAGTGACGCAATGATTGTGTTTCGTATTCCTATTTCAATGGCGGACATGTTTTTATTTTTCGCTGGTCAATTTTGGCAGGCTTCATGAGACATCAGTTTTGCAGTGTCATCATTTCTACGTCACTATTTCAGATCAGCTGGATAGTTATAAGTTTTAAATTACCTCCAGACGTGGCTTTCGCATTCTTTTGACTGGTTCCGCTGTGGATTCCGACATCCTTTTATCTGAAAACCAAGTCAAAGCACATTCACTATCATATCTTCCCGTTATGATGTTTAGCTTTTTTTTTTTTTCAATTCCGATTTTCGATTAGCTTAGCATGGTATGGAAAGGACTGGAGTCATCATCATGTTGCGATGAAATTCACTTAGGGACCTGTCAACATTTATGGGGGAGGGCAAGGGATGTTTCAAACGGTGGCTGGCGAGGACCACCAGTTTTCATGTGGGAAAAAGGGACAAGTAAATTTATGCAAGAAAATAAAGAACGAATAGGGAAATAAATGATACGTTTGATGGCGGGAGGAGTGAGGTGGAGAGAGGGGGGGAGAGAGGGGGAGAGAGGGGGAGAGAGGGGGAGAGAGGGGAGGGTGATGGTAGGGAGCTGGCTGCAAAGGGCATCCAACAAATCGGAAGAGGGTGGTATCGAATAATATATTACAAGCTTTCGTTTTACAAAAATATTAACTGTTTAAAAACTTTTTTGATTGAAGGAGTGAAAAGAAGCTGAAGAAAAAAGAAATAGCCGAAGTGGTGGAGAAGCACAGCGTTAGTCTCAAAACATTAGACTATGCAAAGATCGAATGTGAAACTAATTGCAACATGGGAGATATGGAACTGGGCAACATAGACGAAATATACTATGAAGATACAGATCTACGTTCGCTGCTGGAAAATGCAATCCTGTCCAATAAAAAATTGAGTCCCTATTCTAAGCAGAAGATGTACATTGTGACAGGTGTGGTATACAGCAGCATGTTTAAGGTCATTGGAAAAAGGGAAACCTCATTTGGTATTAACGGACAAATTGCCTTCAAATCGAAGCTTGGTGGGTGGATGACCAGAGTCGGAAGCCTGCGTGGTGGCTGTTCTAACATTAAATGTAAAGCAGCTTTGGTGTCAAGGTACGTGTACCAGTGCTTTCCATCTATTCCAAAGTTTTGTTTTTAGTGTTCGATGGATAAAATATCATCATGTTCGGAGCCAATGCATGGATATTTGTATCCCGACGTCCCAGCCTCTCTCCTCTACATGTCATTTTTATTTGAATGCAATTTAGCATATTCATTCCAAGATCTATTTTTCTAGAGAACTTTAAAAAGGTAAAAGACTAACTTTTCAAATAATTTCCAAACATTCGCTTACAGAACGAAGAAAGCACCGATTCTGTTCACAATTAGTCCAGTCGAATATGACGAGCAGGCCAAAAAGCTTAAACTTCCAAATGATGTTTTTGTGGGCAATATCATTGCTCGTGGAAAGTGTAGTCTTGGAAAACTGGAAGACAAGATTCATGAACTGGCTCATGTCACCGAAGAAGAAACAGAAGAACAAGAGCAATTGTTATCAGGTAAGCCAAAATCTAAACTGAAACTAGATGGCCATTTTCCTAGAGCGTTGCTTCAGAAAATTAAGGACTTTAACATTTGCAAAATCTACGACGGCGACGTCAACCGGAGGTCGGTAAATAATTTCACTTTAGGGTCCGGGGGTCTTCAAAGTCTGCCTTTCCTGTGGATAAGTTGACTTTACTGACAACGTTTTAAATGAAATCTCCAATGAACAGAACCCTAAAGAGAAGTTATTCACAAGATTAATTAGATTTTGCAAATCTTAAAGTCCCTCATTACATTACCTAAACTAACAGTTCTAAAAATCTATTTTATGCGTTTACCACTCCTGTACAGCGTAATGCCTAAAAGGCCGTTTGCAACCCAATAGTCCCCTTCACAGTTCCCTGCGCCATCTTGAAAGGTAGCCGTGCCTTTGCATCGAAGCGAGACGAACGGTGAGCTTGCAATGATTGAGACCTTTTTTTTTAACACCTTGGACAATTATTTACATGTCTCTATCATTGCAAGCTCACCGTTCTTCTCGCTTCGATGCAGAGGCACGGCTACCTTTCAAGATGGCGGAGGGAACCGTAAAGGGAACTATTGATAAGGTAACCGATAGATCGAATTAGAATTTAGGAGTGGATTTTTGTTGACATACCGGTAAGAGGGACAACGCGGTCTTCCTTTTATACCTTAAGTTATTGAAATAATGCCAATGTTATGCTAGTGCTTATAAAGAGCTCCGTCGTTAAGCTCTCTCCTGGTTGTTATATTTTAGAACTGTTTCAGATAGCAAAAATAGAAGCCAAGATCGAAGCAATTGAACGCCTGTTGATGTCTGTCAACACAAGAGATGAGCGGGAAGTACTTGTCGTGAAATTCCTTTACATGGTAAGTATGAGCTTGCTGGATTACATACATGCATCAGTTCTTAATCAGAGTAACAACTGTGAATGAAGCGACCTTAAAAAACGTCGTGAAACTCTTTTACATTGTAAGTATAGCTTGTTGGATTACATATATGCATCAGTTCTTGTCATAAGCAGAGTTACAGCTGTGAATGACGCGACCTTAAAAACGTGAGCATATTCATTTTTGTGCGCATGTTGTCGGCTTTAAACCGGACCTCCTCAAGACGGCGTCATTTCTACCTTTTTCTCGTCCTGATGGAGGGAAAGCTTCAAGAAAACGGTCCGAGTGCACGTAAAGAGAACTTGCGCAGTATTTGAAGCAAAATCTTGGCTACACGTGTCTATATATAATGGTCAAACAGTAGGCACACAGATATAAGTTAGAAAAAGATAATCAATGTCTGACAGCCTGAGTTGAATGTTTGTTAATATCTTAGAATTCATAAGAAATAAATAATATATGATTTCTTTCTTTTTTTTCTGTTTCTTTTTTTTCTTCCTTTCCAATATTTTCGTTTTTATCTTTTAAAGCTTGAAAGGCTTTTAAGCGAAAAAGGTCAAAAACTGTATCTAGACGGATGCTACTTTCCTGAGACAGACAGCGAAAAGGATTTCTTTACTGAGCTCGGGTTATGCCTTGATGGAGCTAATGTTTCTGCACCTGAAGAAGATCTCCTTCAGAATGTTCAAGACTATGGGCTGATCCTAAAATTCATTGCAGGTTAGTACTGGCATTTACTTTTCATCGATAGACGAAATCCTCTTGGGCACAATGTTTGATCAAACCATGCCTCATGTCATTCCCTTGAAAATAACATTGTTTTTTTGAGTTGTATACATATTCATGTTTCTTCTCATGAGCAACCGAAGAAACAAAGAAACGATACTCTAAGAAATGACAGGTGGTCAAAAATAGAAAAACATTACGTCTAAGTAGATTTGGTCCATTCCATTTTGGCCATGAGAGCCAAGCCTTGTGCAAGGTAATGCTTGGCAAAGCAAAAGCAATCAAATGGAAAAAGTCCATATTAGATATATTTAACTTATTTTGTATGAAAGACATGAGTTTTATATACGGTTCTCTCGCAAAGCAGTTATTAGTTGTAGAAGGCGAGCAAAACAACAACAACAACATCAAACAAACGAACCAACAAAAAAGCCTGAAAAAGGTCACTTGTGTGCATATGAATTGTCCGTTAATTTCACTCCCGAAATGTACAATAATACAAATAATTACTTATACATGCATCTAATATTCAAACTTACATCAAACTAATCCTTTGGTTTACAGCGAGCAACCAGGAGGAATTGGATGAACTTGACAAAATATTAATTGAAGGGAAAAGAGATGACAAAGAAGTCGCCGAAACTCAAGAACAACTAAAAAAGCAACAAGCAGAGGAACAAGAAATAGTTTGCTGAGTACATAGAGCGAACGTAAAATCAATAAACGACACAAATTTTCTCTAAAGCAATGAAAATTTGGCTTTTTTTAAAGATTCTACAACCTATAACAATACCATTTTTAAAGCAGAAGTACATGGGAAAAAATTAACGAACAGAGAAAAAAGGCAAAAAATCTGTCTTGTCTAACGGCTCGTTTTTGATAATTCTTCCTAGAGCATTTATTTTCGTAAACTCGAAAAATAAAAACAAAAATGTTTGGGACAACCTTTAAACTATATAAGCTTGTGATATTTTTGGTGTATTAAAAAATAAATAAAACATACTGAAGGGCGTTATAGCGTGCGCTAATCTTGCATCCTGTGTGTGTGGCGGCCTTTTGTTGAGGAGCTCGAGGACTGTGAATCGTTTTTCCCCTGTGCAGATAACTGCTTCGTCTTTACTCGAGCATTTGTTGATGTATTTGAAGTAAATTTATGTTCTGGGCTATTTACTAGCAACTGGATTTTATTGCGCCTATTGCGATTATTTACTAGCAACTGAATTTTATTGCGCCTTCGTGATAAGGCTTAGCAGCATGTTATAATCAGATTTTCATAGGCCGACTGCTGTTGTCGAAATCAGAACAAAAGTAATAACGACCATTGATAGTTGTCAGAAGTCAATATATGTGCAATTTATATGGATGAAGTCTTCATAATTAAAATGCAGAAATAAAAGTAGGCAGAAATGAAAAGAAAGACCGGGTGTTTTTGTTGACGTTTTCATTTTGAATGCTTTGAGAGTAAATTTGAGAAACCCTAAATAAACCACATATACTGATACATTCTATTCCTTGTTGGCCAGAAAAGAATATTCTGTAAAAACTTAAAATAGATATCTTGCTATAACGAGAAAGCTGATAATATTTGGATGGTTGAGAGAACTTATAAGGAATAATCAGGAATGATGATTGACCATGACTTCCACGTACACCTTAACAACACATCGTCTATTGCATGGGATCATGAGTACAGAGAGACAACCTAAAGTGAGATTATAGATGAGTGCATTAAAAGCAATATATGTATTCACTTGCTATTCAATTGACAAAGCACGTTATTCTTAAACGATTAGAAAAATGTTTACTTAAACATCATAAGTACTATATTAACTATCAAGTATCAGTTTCCTCATCAAAACCCACACACTGGTCAAGATCAGTGTTATAACACATTTTAGCAGACTTCGTTAGAACAGATTTCGGACTACTGTAAAAAAAAATTCGATAACGGCACGGTCACGGTGCATTGAAGCATTTGTTAAACCAATCAAGGGGTGATATATTATTGATTATCTAATCAAAATGCTCAATCACGGCAGTGTACATGTTGCGATTAAACAATTAGTAAATAAGCTTTCACACTCAGTACACATACAGGACTTTCCTTTGATAAAATCATTGCATTTTTCTTATTGTATGGTCACGCCGCTATAAATATACATATATACACTATCCATCACCATCTTTTTGAAATAGGAAACTCCTGACCGGAACATATAACGAGAACGCCGTATTTTCAAGTACAAAGACAAAATAAAAAATAAAAAAAGGGAAGTATAAAATTAGATAAAGAGAAAGAAAGGAAATGAAATGAGAGAAAAGAATGAAGTCTGAGTGAACAGGAATTGAAAAGGAATAAAAAGAGAAGAAAAGAAAAGAGTAGAGAAAAAAGGCGGAAAGAAAAAAGAGAAAGAAAAGAAAAAAGGAGTAAAAAAGAGAGAGAGAAAAAAAGAAGAAGAAGAAGAAGAAGAAGAAGAGAAAAAAGAAGAGAAAAAATCATCATAAGAAAGTAAACACAAAAGGAAAAATTAACAGAAAAGAATGAGCAAGTGGAAAGTGAAAAGAAAGAAACGGATAAAATGGATGAAATATTTATCATACACCGACTTGCTGTCACTGCATTATGATATTTCGCCCTGAAATTAAAATGATTTGTCATTTTTGTTTATTGCCAGATTTGTTTATCATTCTGTTGGAGTCATCGCTAAAATTACTCTCCAATCTTTTGTTATTATTTCTTCAAAAATGTTGATTGGATGGTACAGGTGCCATGTGTTCTGTTTTGTTTATATTTGTCCTCTCAATGGCCGCAATAACAAAGGCTTTTCATGTGAAAGCGAAAGGGCATATTGAATGCCACATAGCCGACACCCACAATATTGATTTGATGTGACAAAGTGCACGAAAACCATGTAGTTTATTTATTTGAAAGCAAAAATCCCCTTATTAATTCCCTTAAAAGGTCAAAACCAAATAGAGTATCTAATTGCGTTTGTCTGGAGTTAACAGCTAATAACGCTGTGGCATAGGTGAACAGAGTGGTTTTCTGTTCGTGCTCGGACTAATAAAGAGAAATTATAGTATAGTCAATCAAAAGAACAGTTTTCAATTAGTTTAGTACATTAGTCTCTCGTAGACGCATTTTTGTACTTATGCCTCGCTTTTAAGTACGGCGAAATTAGGAGAGAAAATTGTGCATTGAAAGCCGGATAGCGCTTGTATCACGATAGGAAAAGAACGATCTTGGGGACTATCCGAAAGAGTGTACTCCAGACCATCTAGGTTTTTGTTTGACTAGGATGGCACTTCCCCATCATTCCTTTTCGATTCATTCCTACAAAAGTAAGACTCCTGACAAGTAGATGTCTTCTGATGCTTCATAATAATAGAGGTTGAAACTCTCAATATTTTTCTTACTGCCAAAGCTATGTAAGCTTCTCAGACAAACCATATGTCCAAGTGCGTTTTGTGCTATCAGCCAGAATAAACAAATCTGATAAGTCCTTTTGTTGACACACATTACGAAATGTCAAATCGCGGCTTTCGAATGTGTTCCTTGCTTACCACAATAAAAAAACCTTGAAAATATTGAGTAACTAGGGGGACTAGAGACGTTATCACTCAAAGCCTTAAAAATGAAAAGAAAGGAAAGATTTAAAGCGATAAGCTTTCAAGAACATATTCTTTTTCATTTTGTATTCAAACCACGTGTCACTGTGAATGTCAAAATTCTCCACTTGCTCAACGTGGCCTAAACAGTTTTCAGCTGCATTTGAGGAAAAAAGAAAACAATAATTTATATGTTTGCTAAAAGCTAAGCCCAGGCCATACACTAGTTAGAACGCCAGCCAATCAAAGGCCGTCTAAACCCGATAGCACGTCTCTTGCCTGACATCTATTTTATTTCCAAGGTCGTTCCTGTCTGGTTGGAAGGTTGGGAGAGTTGATGCTTTGATAAATCGAGTCGGACGGGCTGCAGCTGAATAGAGGCTATGTGATGACTATAAATATAATACACATTTGAAAAATGCATTAATTGTTGCCTGGTCAATTTCCAATTCAGCGTGTTTCGAAATCCATGACTGGAAATTTAGGAAAAACACTGCATTCATATTGTTTTCTCCGCTCGTGTATTTATGTTTAGATGAAGATGAAAAGAGACTGGCGTGGGAGTGGCCTTTGTTCTGCCTTCTCTGTTTATTTTTGTTTTTATTTACAGGTGCCAATAACGTGACGTCACAGGGCAAAGTGAGGCTTTCTCATATTGTTTGGGTTGCAAACCAAGAGACATCAACAACAGCGGGCAAATTATTTAGCTGAAAGGAGACATTTACAACTGGAGGAATATCTGGAAACCGTTCTTTAGATTTGACTGCTGGACTTGAGGGAAGATTTTAATCTTGATCAGAAGACAACTTGTCAACGGAGCATCAAACTATGGCCCTTTCATTCATTCACGGACAAGCGAAACATTTTTAGAACTTTCAGGTAATGTGCTCACTATCGTCAACATTTTCGCTCGCACAAATGATCATTTCTATGAACTCAGAACTCAAAGTATAAGCATATTACACTTTTTAGATATTTCTTTAGGCATTAGTCTAGTTATCTCTTATTTTAAATAGGTCTTTGGCGCTTTTTTATTGCTGGTATTTCAAGGAAAAGACGCTAGCTGTTGTTATTTGTTGTTTACTCGAACACGTTTCACATTGTTGTTATTTATGGCGACGCGCTCAAAGGGAACCTCTTTCTCGCTCAAAATCTTGGCTTTTCTCAAAAGAAAGTGTACTTTACATACAAAAACTACATAGTCTGTTAAGTTATCATTTATTTGAAGTTAGTTTTTGGGGAATTATTCTGTTCTAGGAAACACTTTCTGCGCATTATTTATTCGAGGACAAAATGAATTCAAATAAACCCAGCTCTATGTCGATCGGTGGCGTGTTGGAAAGGAAGTGGCTTTTTTCTCCTTCAAAATATTCTCCCTGACAAACTCTAACAGTTCAGACTTGAAGCTTGTTAGATGTTGGAACAATAAATGCTAATTTTAAGAAACAAAATTGGTATTTATGCGTCAAATGGGCTAAAAATGGTCGTACCACATAGATTATTTGCGTCTAGCCGCCATTTTCCTCGCGATTAATTAATGAAAACGATGTTCATTGCATCGTTTTTCTTTCAAGAAAGAAAGACAGAAATATATTTTCCTCTTCTTAAACTAGACAAATGAAATCTGGAACCAGGAGTACCAACTGGTAATCAAAGTAAAGGAAGAACGCTATCGAAGAAGCCCCTTTGTGATCAATAATCGCACCCATTCAATCCAGCCATGTCAACAAGCAACACGGAGGGAAACATCGCGGGATCAGTAACTTTGGCTGCTTCTAGAACCTCGACAAATGTAAGAATTGCATTGTTTAACTGTATATTCCCTACCGATTTGATTGTCTGTTTGGGAACCGTCATAAGCGACCGTGCTAGCTACTGCACAAGAAACAACCTACGAAGTATATACACGACAGTTTAAATTTAAATCCTACAACTTTACTAGCCGAAGCTGTCCCAAACGAGAAAAGAAAATAAACTCTAAAGCCAGCAAGTAGTAAACCTTTAGGATCCCTTTGAGGTTTTCTTGTCTGTCATAAATCTAATATAAGTGCAAAGAGCTCGTCGTTTTCAGCTGTATGTCTGGTATCATGCCGTTCTATTGAATAATTCCGTCCGTCCCACTCTAGTACCCCCCTCGGTTTAAATGTCTTACAAAGCGAGGAAACGCAATCGGTTATGGCAAAAAAGCTTTTCATCCTATTTCCTAACTCTGCAACAGGTGCTGTTTTAGAACTTTTATTTTACTCTCAATTTCTAAAGTTTTTTTTTTGAGAAGAGATATAACTAGCTAAAAACTAGTGTGAGCTGCGTCGGTGTTTCTAATGAAACAGTAATGATGAAAAGGTAAATTATACACCGTGAAAAGATGAAAAAACTTACTGACGTTTCGGACGCTAGTCCTTCGTCGGAGTAAAAGGAAGTTTTTTTTTTGAGTGTGATTTAATTTTTTTCCCCAAATTTTTGGACAGACCCATGTGGATAGATATTTTAAGCTGTGTAGCTGGTGCATTCAGCAATCCACAGATTTCAAGTGCAACTTTTAAAACTTTGATTTTATTGATACCAATGGTAAATTATTTCTCAAATCCAAATTTTATGCATTTTTTCACCTTTGACTTATCACTCATATTTAAAACAAAGTTTTGACTATATAATATTGGGGGCATTTATTTATTTATTAAATGTTTTTTTATGAATTTCAATGGTCGACATGTTTTCGGCATTATTTATTGCATCTTTGGAAGATCATGTTTTGGGGCTTTGATCACATTGTTTCTCACCTAAATATCTTTTTCTATCATCATATAAACTATTATCATAAAAAAAATAATCAAATTATAGCCAGATGACATGTATGTAGTTAAAAATTACTTTCCATGATGATGAGAAATTACTGTACAGCATTAAGGACTACATATAATATTAATACAATGCTTTCCAGATAAGATTCACTATAAAATTTGCAGAAAGCATACATGTACACCTTGTATACATTACATAGGACATCAATATAAAGGATATGTTTTGCAAGAATATAGACAAAATAAATCAAGTAATGGCTATGTAAATCCTAAATTGATGCTTAGATATAGTCTCCAACACCATCACTATGACAAAAATAATATTGGCAGATACAAAATGTAAAGCCATTACTTCACTATAGAGTTAATATATACTTGTTTAAAGAACTTCCCATAAATATGGATCATGTGATTGTGATTTTGAATCAACTTGATACAAGAAATCAAGCAAGCTTTAATTTTAACACTGAATGAGTACTTGTAAGCTCTTTGTTGAATGCCCAAACTTTGTTGTTGATTTGAATAAGAATAACAATTCATTCTCTCTCTGTTTGACCCAAGCATTGTGAATGGTGATGGCACAAAATAATCCATTTCTCAACTTATCAACAAATAGTAAATTCTAGAACTCACAGTCAGAACATTTAGACTATTGAATTTGTAATCAAATGAATATTCATAAATGTACATATTTTAATATATGCTAAACTAATAGTAATAGCACTTCATATCTTATTTATATATCATGGCACATACATTTTGTTTGCATGCTGAGTTTCTTGTTTTGTTATTCATATTCTTTCTGTGATCAAGCCAGACCTTTCTAGACAGTCCTGGTATACTCAAAAACAAGGTCATAAGTTATAGGAATATATCTATTGGTCATGTTTCCTTTTATCACTAACAACAAATGTGGAGGAATGATAGCCACATTTATTGACACCTTTTTTTATTTAATCAATATTATCAAAATAATAACCTTGAGAGTTTAGTTCTGCATGCATATTATTAATTATTTTGATACATGTCTTACTGAGTTTTTTGGCTCCTGGATTGAATATAAGTATTGTTTGGGTGTGCAAGGTACTAGGTCAAATAGAATGTGTGTGACAGATCAGAGTAATATGAGAAGAACCTTGTGGATGACAGGATATTGTTCTTTGCTTATATAGACAGAAATAATAGGTATGATCCTCATTCATTGCATTTTCTAGATATACTGATTAAAACATAAAATATTGATTTAAAAAAAATAATCGTGAAAGTTTATAGTTGAGCCATATAGTAGCCTTCTTGGGAATAATGGAACTTATGTTATTTCACAAAGAATATGACGGTCAAAAGAAAGTATCTTTCCTATTTTATTCATGAGTTATCAGTTCATTTCTAATTCTGACTTGAAATTAAGAATTTTATGCCCATGAGTGTGATATATACCAGACAAGTTGTCAATCACAAAATGACTTGTTGTGACATACAGTCTTTCATAGTGCATGTTTATGAGAATCACTTCTCATTTTACATCTATATCAACTTTTAATAAGAGTCAACTGTTGGACTATATTGAAACAATGAGAAGGATAGTAGAAGTATTTCCCAAGAATAAGTGGTAACACATTGATACTCATGATACTCATGATCAGGACTAGGCATAGCCAAGTTGCTGTTCTGCATCATTCAACTTAATAGACAGGTGCTTACCATTAAATCATTACCTGTCGCAGAAGTTTCTTATCATTTAGAATTTGCATGTTGACTATAACGATTGCGGTATGTAGCAATTTGCAGTGAATTTTATTTGATCCCCTATCTCGTTGCACAATGAATAGCATTCTTATTCTTTTCTCTGTGCAGTTTCAATGAACAGATATTTTTCTTCTGTATTTTTCATTCATGTAAAAAAAAGGAATGGGTAAATTTAAACTAGACTGAGTGAATCAGTTAACCAGTTGACATAATTATAAATTGTTACTGTCAATAATGAATAGCTTATTGTTTCTTTACAGGTCCAATGGAACCAGTACTAAATGTATAAAACCTATATTTTATCATTATATCATAGTTAATAAACAAGACAACAACTACGCTCAAACAGTCAGAATCTTCGAATAAGGCCAACTCAGACATGGTTAGTCCACAAGGATCTGCTACCAACCATACAAATGGCACTAGACTATCTGGACAGGGTTCTAAGAAAGCCTCTTGCTGTTGTTCTTCACATGACGAGCACCTGCCTGGAGTTCTATATCAGCATATTCCAAATGGTACTATTCCAGTTGACTCTAAAGTACCAGAACATGGTGTAAAGGATTGTAAGGGTGGAAAATCAAAGCACAATGGGGGAGCGTTTTGTTCATCTTGTCCTCCAGGACTTCATACCCATCACATGTATTCTCCTCAAAACTGCCATCCTCAGCCCACTTTTGAACATGGGCACTGTGGCTGCCCATCTGGGTACTTAGATGGTCATTATCACTATACACATCATCAACAAAATCAATCAAGGCCAGTTGCTGTTGTAGCTCATCCCCCACCTTTGCTTCTAAGACCAATACAACCACAGCATATTCAACAACATCAGGTAAATAGAAAATATTATGAAAAGCATATTATATTTTCTACAGCTATTTACTAGTGTTTATTGTGACACAGTAAATAAACTTTTTCTTTCCTTTTTTATGCTTTTGACTGCAATTTGCAACACATTAAGAGTAGATGTCAGCAAAAATCAAACAAAATCGAAATTTTCTGGCAACAGTCAAAAAAT